TATGTCAATGCTGTTGTAACGAAATGCTTCTTCTAATTATATGGTTATTAAATAAATAATGTTTAAAAAGCTTCTGTACAGCAAAGAAAACAATCATCAAAGCAAAGAGGCAGCCTATAGAACATAAAAAGATATATGCCAACTACACATCAGACAATGGATTAGTATCTACAATACATAAATAACTGCAGAAAAACACCAAAAATTCAGATCATCCAGTCAATGAACTGGCTAAAACTAAGTAGACAGTTCTCAAAGAAGAAATTCAAGGACTTAAAAAACATTTTAAAATGTATTTGACAATCTAATTCATCAGGGAAATACAAATTAAAACTGCTTCAAAAGCACTCTGCTATTACCCCTATTCCTGCCACCACCGCTTACCTGTGTCCCTCACCTTTTGCTGACTCCCTCCCTCACTTTAGGATTGCTTGAACCCAGCTGGCTGGTCTAGGGATGCTCTAGTTACCCCATATGGCCCCCGAGACCCAGGTAGGCTGCCCCACCCCATGCTATCACTCCTATTCCCATTGCTGCTTACTAGGGACCCCCACCTCTTCCTGACTACCTCCCTCCCTTTGGGATTCACATTATCTCAAAAGGCTGCAGCAGGGACTCTCCAATTTCCACATCACTCCAAATCTCTGTCTCCAGCAATCAATAACCCCTACCTCTTCCTGACACCCACCTTCCCTTTGGAATTTGCCTGTCCCCAGAAGACTGCACACCAAGGACTCTTCAGCTCCCCCACGTGGACTTGAGACCCAAATAGGCTACCCCCAAATATCTGCCATCACGCCAAAGCAGCTTCCTGCCGTAGCCAGGAACACCTGGGTGACTCCCTATTAACCTCAACCCCCAGAGATGTCAATGACATTTTTTAAGTGGAAAACGTCAATAGAATGAATCACATGGGAGACTCTCAAACCTTGATGACAAGGTAGTGGAATTAGATCCTTCAGTCAAAGAAAATGTCAAATCTAAAAAAAAAAAAAAAATCTCAGGAACAGAATGTGCTGGAACTTTGAGATACTATGAAAAGACCAAATCTATGAATCATAGCTATAGAAAAAGGAGAAGAAACCCAGGTCAGAGGCAGAGAAATATTTTCAACAAAATCATGGAAGAAAACCCTAAATGTAAGGAAATAGATGCCTTTTGAGATCCAAGAAACATACAGAACACCAAACAGGACCAGAAAAGAAGCTCCCACGTCCTATGATAACCAAAACACTAAATGTACAGAACAAAGAAAGGGTACCAAACGCTGCAAGACAGAAAGAGTAAATCACAAAAGAAAACACCTCCACAACAAAACGACACATATTAAGAAACGCTGGTCAATAGTAACTTTCAATATTATTGGACTCAATTCTCTAATCAAAACACACAGTAAATGTTTGGAGTAGAAAACAGGATCCATCTTTTTTCTGCCTCCAAGAAACACACCTTACCGTCAATGATCAATATCATCTGATGGTAAAATATTGGAAGAAGGTGTGCTAAGACAAGACAACAAGCAGGTGTAGCTATGCTATCTGACATAATCAATTTCAAACTAGAACTAGTCAGAAAAGATGAGGAAAGACATTTCACACTCAAAAAAAAAACCACCAAAAAGATATTATAATCCCAAACATGTATTACCAAGCATAGGGACACCCAATTTTATTTTTTAAAAATACTCTCAGATCTAAAATCACTGATTGACTCCAACTTCAGAACCCAACTCTCACGAATAGAGAGGTCATTGAAACAAAAACTAAACAGAGAAGTCCAAAAGTTAAATGATGTAAATCAAATGGGCTTAACAGACATCTACATAACATTCCACCCTAACACCGAAGAATACATTTTCTTCCCAGCAGTCCATGGAACTGTCTCCAAAATCAACCACATACTAAGGCACAAAATAAGTCTTAACAGATTTTGGAAAATTGAAACAACATCCTGTATCCTTTCTGACCACAGAGAAATAAAGCTGGATATCGACAACAACAGAAAGTGGGAAAATACAGAAAGTCATGGAACCCGAACAAAACACTACTGGATGCAAACTGGGTGAAGGAAGAAATCAAGAAGGGAATTTTTTTTTGTTTCTAGAACTGAATGAAAATGAAAATAAAGCATACCAAAATCTACAAGTCTTAAAATGTGTATAGAATAAGAGTACATGAAATCAGGCAGGGGTCATAGGAGGGTGCAGATAGGGGTCTAAATATGATCAAAACATATTGAATGACATTCTCAGAAGTTCGTTTTTAAAAAACTGTTTTGAGGGGCTGGAGAGATGGCTCAGCTGTTAAGAGTGCTGGCTGTTCATGCAGAAGATTCAGGTTCAAATCCCAGCACCTACATGGCAACTAACAAACATTCCGGGGGATCTGAAGCCTTCTTCTGTCCTCTGTGGACATTGAATGACATAGGGGCACTTACATACATGCACACAGTACACACACATAAAATAAAAATAAAGCAAAAAACATTTTTAATTAAAAAAACAACTTGTAAGAGTGTCACTAAAATTCCTTCTGACGGGTATGAACAACATCCACCCCCTCTTCCCTTGGTCACAATGACAAATCGAGGTCAATTTAATCAAACTGCAGTCAGAGAAACCAGTAGGCTTACTACAGTGCAATGGTGAGGATTTACTTACAGGAGTGTGGGCGCTCCCCCAGTAAGACTGCACTGGAAAGTCTTCATCCAGGCCTGGATGGTGACTTCCCTGTAACCACATAAACTAGCAGGGTCACCCCTAGGCTTCCCCAGTCTGTATACCCTTAGCCCCGCCCCTAGTCCACAATCACCCAGGACCAATTAGTTGGTTGGGAGATGTGACTGGAATCTCAAGCAAGGGTCCATGACTCTTGCTTCCCCTCCCTTCCAAATCATAAATCTGGGAAAGACTGTAGGGAGAAAGGAACTCATATAAGCTCGTAGAGTCACTATGGAAATCAATATAGTTTCCTTCAAAAATTAAAACTAGAACTACCATATAACCTAGCTATACACTACTGTGTATATGCCCTAAGAAATCTAAGTTAACATAACACAGAGGTCCTTGTACATCCATGTTTATCTGCTCTATTCACAATAGCCAGGAAATGGGACCAGACTACTAGATGTCCATCAACATGTGGATGAATAATTAAAGAAGTGGCCCATGTACACAATGGGATTTTTTTCCGTCATAAGGAAAAGTGAAACTGTGACATAGGTTAGGTCAAAGGGAAGGAGAATCAATAAAAAAATATATATAGCCAGGCGTGGTGGCGCTCACCTTTAATCCCAGCACTCAGGAGACAAAGGCAGGCAGATCTCTGTGAGATCAAGGCCAGCCTGGTCTACATGGTGAGTTCCAGGCCAGCTGGGGCTATGGGAGACCCTGTCTCAGAAGGAACAAAGTATAATGACATATATGCATTAAAATGCTATATTGAAACCCGTTATTTATTTGCTAACTTAAAAATATTTTTTAAATACATGTCAGGTGCTCACTTCAGCAGCACATATACTAACATTGGATACAGAGAAGATTAGCATGACCCCTGCTCAGGGATGATACAAAAATTCATGGAGAGTTTCATAGTTAAAATAAAAATATATGTCAGGTTTAGAAAGGCTCTAAGTTTTAAGAAAAAAAAGTAAAATGCTTAAAAATGGCAAAGAAATAAAATGTTCAGAAAAAATTGCCTAAAACTTAGAGAAAAGATTACTATGTGCCCTTTAAAGGTCATTCCAAGACAAGCTTATATTAGGATCATCTGATTCTCTGGGGAATGTAGCACCATTAGGTTTATTTTTTTACTAGTATGTTTGCCCATATTCTGTAAGTTAAGTGTTAATTTAGAGAAGACTTGTACATTGTAAATGGTTTTCTGTCCAATAAAAAAAGATTATCCTCAGGCATAAAGAGATGGCTCCTGAGTTAAAGGAGCACAGTGCTGTTACAGAGGACCTAAGCTCAGTTCCCAGCACCCACACAGGCAGCTCACAACCACTTGTAACTCCAGCTCCAAATGACCTGATATCTTCTTCTGGCTTCTGCAAACACCTGCCCTTATGTGCACATACCTGCACACAGACACATGTATACATAATTAAAACATAAAAATAAAGTATTTTTAAAAGAAGTTTGTCCTCAGGAATTGAGTCCTACAGAGCATTAACCAGTTCTGTATCCCTTTTGTACTCTTATTCTAGTATTTTCTCTTTAACTGGACAAACATACCAAACTCCATCTTGTTGGTTCCCTGATTAATAAATAAGATGTTTACGTATTCTAATACACTGTGTGAGATTCATGGGGTTTATTTTGTTTTGTTTTTTTCCCTTTTGAGACGGGGTCTCCCTGTAGCCCCAGCTGGCCTGGAACTCACTATGTAGACCAGGCTGGCTTTGAACTCACAGAGATCCGCCTGCCTCTGCCTCCCGAGTGCTGGGACTATAGGCGTGTGCCACCACACCTGGCCATGGTTGCTATTTTAAAGTTTTTGCAAAGAATAGTATTATTAAAGTGAGACAAAAATGAATAAAGGAGCTTTATCAGATTACTCTGAGTGAAGCGGAACTCTGGCCAGCTCCCCTCCACGTTTATCACATCTCCTGCTCCCCATCCACAGAATCTCCCGAATAAAGGCAGCAGGCACGTTGAAATGTGATGCAATGATCACTGTCTGAATAAAGTCTTATCCTGGGCTATATGTAACATTACATACAGAACTTTCAAAGACATACCATTCAATCAGAAAGAATCCTTACTGAACTTGCTGTAAAGCAAACAGCATAACTTCCCTTCTGGGCTGAGCCCTCTTGTATCAAATGAAGAGAGAACTAGAAAAGATTTTGCCTAAGTGTATCTGGCTGACCCTGAGGGAGCCCAGGCAGAACTGGGGAGAAGACTGGGTATGTGGGGCTTTGGGGCTCCTATTGAAGGAACTTAGCTCTCAACTTTAAAGACACGAGAGGAAGAACACGGAGACAAAGAAAATTCTGCTTTAATTTCCATATATATTTGAAGTATTTATGACATTTAAGCTTTCAAATATTACTCTTTAGCATTAACCTTATTCCGTTTAAATAATACCTCACATGGACTGTTTTTAACATACACAGAGCATAAGCATATATATCATTGAAGTGGCCAGTATCATCTGCTCTTTCGTGAAACAGTATCGTAACTGGGCTCATAACTGTGACTTACTTAAAATACTTTACCTTTATGTGGCATTTATATGGCACTTGAATTATTTATGGGATCCCTATAACACTGAATCAACCCATTTTGTTTTTAAATGTAATTTTTGATTGATGTTGAAGAAAAGAAAAGCTTTCTTGTGAAAATATCAGGCACTAGAGAAAGTGTTCAAGAAATGTTCATCCCTGGGGAAGGCTCAAGCCAATATCAGAAGTGCATGCCTGCTGGGTAATCACCAAATTGCAGAGCAGCCTGACCTCCATCCCAAGAAACACAGTGGGGCCTTTAACTCAACAAAATGGTCTCAAAGAAAAGGAAACACACTTTGTTTTTATCTGTGGATAGCCACATGAAATACAAAACATTATCGAAATCCTTGAGGTTTTTACCTCTCTGTGTTACTCCGTGTTTGGGTTCTATTGTGGACTAGACTTCGAAAACAAATTTTTCTCTCACATAGACATAGGGGACCCGGGACTATTTGGGGAGGTTCCACAATTACCAGTGACCCAGTCTCCTTCTGTCATGTATCACGATCTCACTTTTTAAGTTGTGCAGTACCTCCTGGGTGAGGCTAGCTCTTCCACTTCTAGCTAACTCATCTTCACTCCAGCCAACAGGGAGAGAAAGGGATAAGAAGGGGCTCCTATTACCCCTTGAAGGACAGAACATGTACCAACCATGTGGGTTCATATACTCATGCCTAGGACTGGCTCTGCAGCTATAGAAGTAGCAGTAGCAACTGAGGAAGAATATGTAGGTCCAACAGCCCAGTTTCTAGCAAAAAATGAGGGTTCTTACTGAGAAATAATAGAGAAATAGACATAAGGGACTTGTTGAAGTCTCTAACATAATCTCCTTTGGCCACTCAATGACCTCTAACTTCCTTTCTCTAACATACACACACACACACACACACACACACACACACACACACATTTCTGCTTTACTTGCTGCTTAAGCCCTTATTTCTCTGTGGGATTTCATTGTTCTCAGCACTACTTTCTTCCAGGCACTTATTAGAATGACCTGTTAAGCTCTGTTTACAGCAATCAATCACTTTTCTAGTCCAAACTTCCAAAGCTTTTTACATTCCTCCAAAACCCCACATGGTCACAGCCAACAGCCCACTCTCTGGTACCAATTTCTGTATTAGTTACTTTTCTGTTGCTGTGAAAGAAACACTGACCAAAGCAACTTATAGAAGGAAGAGTTTATTTGAGCTTATGGTTCCAAAGGGGCAAAAGTCCATCATGGTGGGGAGGCATGGCGGCAGAGGTGGCTGGAGGAGGAGCAGAAGCTAAGCTCTAACATCTTCAAGCAGGCACAGGAAGCAAGAGCAACTCCAGATCTGGCAAGGCTTAAGAACTCTCTAAGCCCACCCCCAGTGACATGCTTCCTCCAGCATGGCCACACCTTCTAAGACCTCCCAAAATATCACCACCAACTGGAGACAAAAAGTCCAAATACTTAGAGCCTATGGGGGATATTCTCATTCAAACCACCACACACCCCACCCACATCAGTGGTCTGTGGCTTCCCCTTCATTCACTAATCCCCCATTCTCTACAGGCAGGCAGGTGACTTCCAACTGTAGCAACTTCTTTATCTCAGATGAACAAAAAGTCACCAGACTTCCTACCTGCACAACTGGGAGTTTGTTGCCCATGAGCCCTCACCAAACCAAAACCATGCATCTTATATTATGTGCAGGCTTGAAATTATAAATTAGTTAGAGCTGGATTCAGCATGGAATGGCCAAATGGTGTCTTCAACTATATAGACAAATCCTTTTCCCTTCCCCATCACAGAAAGTCTAAAATTTGCATGTCCATCTAGGTCTTCAGAAACTAGCTCAAAGTCAGGATGTAAGGGTTGCGAGCTTCTAGAGTATTTATTAACCTGGCCAACAAGATGTGAATTTGAGCCATATTCCTGAAAGACACAATGCCAGACGCTGTAATCCTCAGTGTTGAAATTCAAAAAGATTAAAATTCTGATAACATGATTCCATGGGAAAGTTTTAGAAAAGTTTGTAAAAGACATTTATTTATATTTTAAAAGACGATTTTTTTAAGAAATCTGTAAACCCATAATGGTGTCTACCCTTCTTTGTTGTAGCCTGTTTTATTGTTTGCTGATCCAAGGAAATTGTAGCTTTCAGGACTTCAGCATTCAGATTTGTGGCATTCAGGAAAGTGTCTTTGGAGATCACAGTCTGTGCCAATGAGGATCCCAGGTTATGAGAAGCTTTGCTCCAGTCATTTAACAGTCAGCCTCCTACTTATTCTCCAGGACACTGGGCAGTGAGGTGCCAGGGCCATGGGCTCAGAGATACTGCCTCTCACAGAGCCGCTGGCCCTCAAGAGGGTGAGAATCCTCCACAAACACTGGTAGTTGGCAACAGTGACAGAACAGATTTTCAGATATGCAACAAACAAAAATCACCAAACATTTGGGAGGAAACAGCATGGGGGGTGCGCTAAATATTACAAAAAGAAAAATAGTGACTGAGAACACAGAATAAACAGAGCAGTGCTCTCAAAACATGCGAGTTTATTAGGTACATGGAAGGCTTGCCTGGATGGCAAAATGGATGCAATTAAAGAACAAACTAATGGGCTGACTCAGCTAAAGGAGACTCTTTTCTGAACTTGGCATAAGTGAGAAAAAGCACCCAGGAAAGAACACGAAAGGTCCAGTGACTGGGCACTTTCCTCAGCCCTTACCTGGAGGGACAAGGGAGGAGGAGATTATTGTGTGAAGATCAGTTACCACCATCTAAAAGTGTTTGCAGGTGGCTACTCCCCATCCCAGAGGAGAAGGATCCCACCTACAGCACTGGGTGCTGCCACACCAGCCAGATGAGTCTCCATGGTACATCAACAGAAATGACCCACCAATAAGCAAAAATGTACTTCTCTCCACCAACACAGATCACTGGATAAGACTCAGGGATCCTAGGGTAAGAAGAGACTAAAAGGAGGGCCAAGTGTCTTATTTCTGAAAATAAATGAAGGGAAATTTATTTATAATCTCATACTGAGAAACGGATGATGATAGATTAGACAGATGATTGAAGATAGATACATAGATGATAGATGATGATAATAGATAGATGATTGATAGATGATAGATAGATAGATGATAGATAGATAGATAGATATAGATAGATGATAGATAGATAGACAGATAGATAGATGATAGATAGATAATCTGTACCCATTCCTATGTATCAACCTGGACGGCTTTAAGTCAATCTACTTGCACATTCATATTTTTTTGTGACACTATTCACAATAGATAGATAGATAGATAGATAGATAGGTAGATAGATAGATACATAGATAGATGATTGATAGATAGGTAGATAGATAGATAGATAGATAGATAGGT